AGGATAAATCAGAGAAGAACTTGGAAAGTAAAGAAGTCTGTAATGTTATATAGAAACAACAAAGAAAATAAAAGACCACATAACAAGTTCAATGGGCAAAAAGGGAAATCAAGAGAATAACAAGGAGCAGACACTAAAATAGAGAGCAACAATAAAGGGAGATAAATGGCCAAACAGCTTCTTGGAAGAGATCCATAAAATCTGGTGGTATAAAGGTGTATATCGACAAAGCTTCAGCTTAATTTGCTCGACAGATTCGGGCAAATCAGAAAAGATAGAAATTCTGATTATTGTCTGAATTCCTGGTTTTTATCACAACTACCGATAAAATTCACATCACACCTCCTCCAGTATAGACTAGCTTGGCTGAATCAAGCCAATCTTTAATCTATTCAGTATAGCCCTAAAGGTTGATCTCCTATTTTAAAGATGGCTCAACAACATCTTGGCACCGTTTCCAACTATGATATGAAGAAAGGAGCAAAGACGATGCTTGGTTCTATAAACAATAATTTTTGATACCGAGTTAGAGAAATGGTTCTCTTGGAAATCTGAGCAAATACAAAACTATTTTCTTCTATATCAACATTTTCTGATTTTATGTATTTTCTTTTTAATGTCATGTTCCATCAGGATATAAGCGGTTATGACTCTCCACAGATTACTTTTCTCATTGGAGTCCAAAATAAATGAGAAACAAGAATACATCAGTTTTAATTTTTAACCTTTACTGTTAAACTTAAATGAGAAATATATTTTCCTTTTTTTATTTATATTATAATCTGTTCTCAAATACTTGGTGTGACATATATATATATATATATATATATATATATATATTATTAATTAAATAAACAGTAAAATAGTTGTTTAAAATTGTATGTGTTAAAAAGTGCTCAATATCAAGCTAGAAGAAAATCAAACCTGTAGAACATTTTAATCTAAAATAATAAAATGCTGAATGGGACACTACTGCAGTTTCAACCACCAAAGTCTCATCATGTGTTTAATTCAGCAAAATCATTATAGACAACACCATAAGGATTTAAATTTCTTATAGCGTCACTGAAACTAATGAGGGAGAAGGAGGTAAAATATTATAATTGTTTTTTCATCTTTACCCGAGTTTGTATACCCCCAAAGTCAATTTCCTCATGTGCCTACATTTTGCCATAATTTCAGACCCATCATTCAATAACTCAGTACTGCCCTTGTATATTGCAATGGCCAGCTTATCCTCCTGACACAGCATAAAGGAGTTTCTATTCCTTTTACTAGCTTTTAATTTTCTTAAAATATTCCATTTAATTGTGAGCCTTCTTTCATTTTTTTCTCTAAAACTCCAGTAAAAGTTTGCAAGCCTTGTATTGAACTTGCATCTGGATGTTCTAAATGATGAAGTATGATTATACCAACTCTTTTTAAATTGGTCCTCAGTGCAACCAATGTATTTTTTTTGCGCTGCTATTGTCTTTTTCTACCTTGGCAAAATACAAAACCTGTTTTGTGCAACATACCCCATTTAAGGGACAATTATTTTTCTTCTGCAATTACAAAGGACCTTAGTTCCACCCCTCACATGTTCTTCAAGATTTGAGTTTCTTTTGTTTAACATTTTAATAATGTTGCCTAGGTTGCTAGTGCAACTGTAGCTCAACTTCACTGTGGTGTGATTAAATAATTTGTACAACCCGGACACTTTTGAGAAATGTTTATTTAAAAGGCCAAAAAATATTTTCCCTATATCTGTTCTTACTTGCATGTTGAAAGAACATATATGTGTATATAAATACAAAGAAAGAACAGTAAGATATATAATCAGGTGTTCTTATAGATATTTTTATTTTTACAAAATAGTGCTCAATGTAAATTTACAGAGCATTAATATTATAAATTAACTGATTTAAAATATGTTTTTTTTCACTACACAATTCTGACCATGTTTCAAAAATGGAAGCTAAAAGCTTCGAATTTAATTTTGTAATTAAATTAAAGACATTAGTTCCATTTATATATATATAGATATAATCATGAGACATTGAGCACTTTTCTGTCCCAAGGTTTCTTAATTTACTTATATCCATACATACACTTATATATATTCATTATGTTATAAGTTTATTACTTTTTTAAGTTATCTTATTTTTATTATATATTAATTATTTTTACATATTTGAAGTTTCAAAATTTTAAAATTTGTTTTTTATTTATTTTTAATAAAAGTTTATTAGTATAATTATTATTAAGATTATTATTTCAGTAACTGATTTCTAACAGAGTAATAACTGAGAGCTAATAATGGAGATAAAGTGACAGCATGCCTCCCCAGTACTTCAACACTTTCCTTGGTATTTTAGTTATTTCCATTGTCTACTGTAAGATTCAAACTCTTAATTTTCATTTCATCAACCCTTTTCCTTTGGAACAGTTCACAGAGCTCTGATAACGACAAGTATGACATTCACCTTCATGTTCTACAATTTTCTCAGCTTCTAGTCAAGGTCAAGCTAACAAAACTGTGGTCTGCTCTGACAGAGGTCTTTATAAGTGCACTTCCAAAAATCTAGATGACCAGAGTCTGGCAGATAATCTCCCCACTGACCTTGTATCATTCAAGTCTTCCAAAACAAAATAATGTTTCACTGAGCAGATCCTAAATTTACTTAAATCCTGATGAATGTTAATACTCTCAATGAGGGATTTGGGGATTAATCTTTTAATCAGTTAGGATTAAAATTCAATCCAGACCTCAATTAGAATTTGGATATTCATGTGATCTCTGGAAAAACGGTTGGTTCCTTGTACCACTGTGATTCTTTCTATCACTCTGCAGGCTCTATTTCTACAAGAGTCAGATCAGACCAAAGATGGAATATTGCTGCTATATCTGGAATGATGCTGATCATTCTTCTATGTCAGGTATTGACAGTTCAAAAGGATTTATGTGTCCTTGTGGGTGAGGAATTATTTTCCACTCTGCAACCCACAGATGAAACATATTTGCCTCTCGTTACTATATTACTATTTCCATAGCAAATGTTCAGATATAGCGCATTCCTTAGTTCTATCACTTTGGACCTTCACATTCATAACCTGCCATATCACTTAGACATAATTAAATCATCAACATTCACTTTTTATTCCATTAGTAAGGAAGAAGTTTCACTCAGACAGATTTTTATGTTGATCTTTTATTTTGAAGAACAGGATCCCAAGAGGATGCTTCTCTGATCTTAGTCACTTCATGTTTATTTGATTGCTTTAAAGTTCAGTATTCTTAGCAATGTACAGTATTCTAACATTATTATCAATGTACAAATATATTTTTATTAGGGCTTTTTATATATATATATATATATATATATATATATATATATATATATATATATGTATGTATAGGTAATAATCCGTTGGTAAATAATCCAAGTGAATCCTAATAATATAAAATATTAAAACTGATCCACAAAAAGAGTTCAATGTATTTATTATAACAGAGCATATAAATTACATAGAATAAAAATCCAAAGTTACCTCATTTGAATAGCTATTTCGACCCACAAGATTTACTTGTAGGTCATGTCAACTCAGTGATATGAAGAAATAAATTATTTAAAAATTTAAAGAATAAAAGAAGAAGGAGAGAGAAAAAGAGGAAGAACAGAAAAAGAAAAAAGGAAAAAAAGAGTAAAGAAAGGGAGAAGAATAAAAAGGGAGTTGCAGTAAAGAATCTAAATGAACTCCCCAAAACATAATAGTAGAGGTAGGAGTGTCTGGTCTAAGTCAAGAAGACAAAAGTTAAAATAACCTTGACCTATATTAAAATATTAACATCTAGTTTGTAAAGGAAAATATTAAAAAATTTGAGAAGATTTTTTTTAAAAAAAGAGTAAGTAAAAAGTTAACACATCTAAAATTAAAAATTACATTAAAACAATTCTCCCCTATGCAGAAGTTGGTTGCAGGATTCAAGTGGGGCAGGGATAGCACAGAAGATGACCTTTGGTCAGTTTGTCCAAAAACCTTGACCACTTATTAACAAGTTGATGCCATTCAGGTGTCTTATTGTCCAGCAGATAACTAAGTCTATAGGCATTAGTGCTGGTTTGGTTTATACTTTTTTTTAACTGAGATCTTGAGGATGAGCAAACTGCTTATAAGATGGCACCCAAGAATGCTGACAGAAGTTGAAAAGGGTTGACATTTCCAGGATACTTCCAACTCTCTTCCAGGCTGACCCTGAGAATTTCCACCACAGACTAGTAACTAATCATGAAACCTGGGTTCACCACTTTCAAACTGAATCAAAAATTCAAAGCAACCACTAGAAACACTCTGGTTCTCCATCCCTGAAGATGTTCAAGTAGACAGTGTCAAGTAGACAGTGTCAAGTAGACAGTGCCTGTTGATAAGGTGACAGCTTCTGTTTCTTTTATTCTGAAGGCATAACTGTGATGGACTACCTGGAAAAGAAAAAAAACTATTAATGGATAGTACTATGCATCAGAATTAAGACAACTGAAGGAAACAATCAAGTCAAAATGTAGATGGAATGTGATTGCAGGTGTGCTCTTCCAGCCTAATGAACCTGTTCACACTACTCAGGTTGCCCTAGATGAATCAGCCAACTGTGGTTTTGAATTGTAGCCCCACGTCCATTAATCACCAGACTTAGCTCAATCTGTCTTCTTCCTGTTTCCTAAACTGAAATCACACCTGTGTGGTTGGCATTTGGGAAACAATGATATCATATGTGTTGTAGAGAAATTTTGGCAGAACCAAGACACCAACTTGTTCTGTGATAGGATTGCAAAATGTTCATTGAATGTGAAAGTGTACATGGTAAATTTGGATAAATCACTCCCTCATAAATACCTTGTTATTTCTATTTCTCACATTGCTGTTTGATTTATTTTTGAACTAGTCTTCTTCATTCATCTCACATAGTTATTTTCCAATCAAAATCTGCCTTTTCTTGTCTTTATTCTCCTATTTGCATTCTAATGCTTTTCTTGTGTTCTCCTTTCTCTTCTATCTTCATACCTTTTTCACATTCAACATTGACATTAGCCAATCAAAATCCATCTTTTCTATCAACTTTTTCTTACCTCCATTATTTTTTCTCGTCTTTCTTTTCTCTTCATTCTTTTCTTTCATGTTTTCTTTTCTATCTTCTTAACTTTTCATATTCAACATTGTCATTAGCCAATCAAAATCCATCTTTTCTATCAACTTTTTCTTACCTCCATTATTTTTTCTCGTCTTTCTTTTCTCTTCAATCTTTTCTTTCATGTTTTCTTTTCTATCTTAACTTTTCATATTCAACATTGTCATTAGCCAATCAAAATCCATCTTTTCTGTCAACTTTTTCTTACCTCCATTATTTTTTCTCGTCTTTCTTTTCTCTTCATTCTTTTCTTTCATGTTTTCTTTTCTATCTTACCTTTTTACATTCAACATTGACATTAGCCAATCAAAATCCATCTTTTCTTTCAACTTTTTATTTCCTATATTATTCCTCTTGCTGTTTTCTTTTCCTTTTACTACTTTTCTTTTGTTTTCTTTTTCATCTTCCATCTTCCTAAATGTTCACATTCACTCTTGATATTAACCAATCAAAATTCCTTCCACCTTCAACCCTTTAACTGTATCTCTTGTGATCTCTTTAATATTCATTAACACAAGTTGTCTTCATTGAACAACTAACATCACCACTATCTCTGCCAGTCAAAATTGTGCTTTGCCCCATCAAACATTGTTCCAATCAGGTTGGGAAAAGACAGATTGCAGATTTAAATGAGTTTGATATTAGACAAAAGAGAAATACCAAATGAAACCATCTTTCCCCAATATGCCTGTGAGAGAGACCATTCATGTATAACAGTAGACAGATGGATATTTGATGATGATGGCATCTAGCATTGGCTTGTTGTAAAATCCTAAGATTAGATCAGGATAATACAAGAGATTTGGATAGCGCCATGAGTCTTGTCCAGCTCTGGAAAATGTCTTTTATGCACGTATGATGCAAAGATGGTTTTATGGCAAGACTAATGGATGGAATGTATGACCCACGAAGAATAATTGATCTTCTTGTGGCGACTATACTGTTTTATTTTATTAGCGATTTTATAACAGGAATTCAAAAATGAAGTCATGAACCCTGCAGATAATTGTGGTTCCTCCAATGAAAAATTCATTGGAGTCTTTACAGGCATTACTTTGGTGAACAGCAAATCCATTGAGCTGTTTCTAGGGGTCACTTAGATAATGGACAAGATTAACTCTTGACATATGTAAATTATTTTTCCACCAAGTTCTTATTAAGAATTATTTCCAGGATTTAATTACAAGAAAGACAAATTGAAGTTCTTAGTACTGTGATTTTTTTTTCATTGGGACATCATGATGAGGTATTTCTGATATGAGGTATATGAAAAACAATATGAACCTCTGAACACTGAGAAATTTTTTTTTTTGCATTGAGTCATAAAGGGGTTACATTGTCTTGTAGTCACATATTGCATGTTCAGATCGAATTTATTGGTCACCAGTTTTGAAAGGTTAACAGGGTGAAAATTTGGCCTTGTAAAAAATATTCAACTCATCCATAAGGGAAACTAAGAATATAGACAAAATCTAAATAAAGATAAAATTTTATATTCCATAAATAGTTGAGATGACTTATAAAAATTGCTTTTCTCTTTTTTTTTATAGTCAAGTTTCTTCTGCTGAAAACAGTTTTTGTATGACAGGGAATAAACAAGATAAAGGAAGATTTCTTAATGACATTGACTCAGATATTTACATCCGGCTGCTACTCAGAATATCACGCAAACACTCACTTGTACTTTGAATACAACTTGGACTGGATGAATACTTGATGTGTTGTTCTTTTATTTATACCTGGGCTATAGATGCAGTAGTAGATACATGAATACACATGAATATTTAACGAAAAATACTCAGCTCCATTTTAAAGTGTGTTACTTGAGTATATAATTTCTAATAAGTTAATAACTATACATGCTTAAAAGCTAAAACTTTGGAAATATATAATTTGATATATGTTTTAAATGCTGTGTAATTTTTATCTTTCTTCATAAATAATAAGTTAATTAAATCTTATTTTTAATATGATTCATTGCAGGATGTTTAAATACAATATATTACTTGTATATTACTAAAAGATAGTAAATAAAATAGCATTGTTATTCTTGTGAGAATGAACCATCAGTTGGATTAGGTTTCAGGAAAAGACTATCTTGGCTCTCAACAACTTCCATTTTGGACTTGTCCAAAATGCACTTTTCCTGAATGAATATCTGGCTTTTTACCCTGATATATGGCATGAACTGGTCAGGTATTCAGCTGTGCATTAACCCTAAGACCTCACTGGGTCATAAGACTGATTATGTATAAATAAAATATAAATATAGGGAAATTTATTTACTGAAAAAAAAAGTTTGAACAAAGTAACTATAAACAATTATTTTTTCTATCCTCTGCCAGCTGCAATGATGGTGAAAGCATTACCTTGAACCATCACCAGAGACACGCTGCAAGAGTCACTCCGTTTCGCGAGGCTCGTCCCTTAATCGAGATGCAATCATGCCAATCCTCTGAAGGAATGCCATTGAACGAGGGCCAACAACCCCAGAAGTTTCCACTGCCACAGAAGTAAAAAAAAAACTATCAGCAAGAGAAGAATATTTAACCATTTTTTTTATCTCTGCATCCCAGGTGACAGACCCTGGCTCAACCGGCCGAAAATGTATCTGTACAGGTTGCATCCCAAATCAACGACTTCTCCATTTTAAAAGGGAAATTAATAATGCCATCTGGCCGCTTTCCATCACCGCGGTCAAGGCCTATGGATTCAATTTAAGAAGGGAACCCAAAATAAACATCCATTTTTGGATAGATTTATTTTACTTTGTCAGCGAGCACTCACAGGACTGCAGCTCTCAACCTCACAAGACAAATAGAGGGTTATATTCATTTTTGTTCATATAAGGTTCTGAACTGTGTCATCTCCAACTACTCTCATTTCCTTAGTCTCCTTGATGTGGCCATATCAGGAAGGGAATCACAGGACACATTGAATTGGTTTGAGGTCTTACAGGAAGCCTTCTTTTTGCTGCTCAGAAGCATCTGACATCCATAAGGACCATACACATGCTTTATCCTACAGACCTGCTGTGGATTGTCACCAATGGATCGGTTAAGCAAAACAGCATCAGTGCTGTAATGTATGCAGACAGAGGGGGAAAATTACTCCTCTGTGGTTGCTTCTCAGCAAGACTACACAGCCATCAGCCAAGATAACATAATTTATAGGATAAAATAACATAATTTATAGGAAAAAAATAACAATTTATAGGAAAAGATAACATAATTTATAGGAAAAATTAACATAATTTTTAGGAAAAGATAACATAATTTATAGGATAAAATAACATAATTTATAGGAAAAATAATTTATAGGAAAAGATAACATAATTTATAGGAAAAGTAACATAATTTATAGAAAAAGATAACATAATTTATAGGATAAAATAACATAATTTATAGGAAAAAATAACAATTTATAGGAAAAAGTACAAAGCAAGTATTTATATAAATATTTTTCACTGTCCCATTTCTGTCATAAATATCTTGGGGTGCATTATAATGGAAAATGAGAAATGTAACACTGAAATCCGAAGACATGTTCTAATAGCTAAAGATATCTTCTAAAAGCTAAACAAGGTATTAAGAAAAATTGAAAATTTCATTTAAAACAAAGAAAAGAGTATTGAATTGAAATGTATTATCAGTTCTTTTATATGCTGGAGAATTACCTCGGAGGTCCAAGATGGCTAGAGTAATGTAGCCTAAATGTGCATAGAGTGAATTGCTAGCGAGGCAAACTGTCTGAGCATCGGTGCTGGAATGATGAGGCACATGCGTCAGTGAGTCAGATTGAGGCTGGCAGTGTGCCCAATATGCAAATTCTCTGACTTGGCAAGAATGTATAAAGAGGGCAAGTGTTTGTTGAGTTGTCAGAACGTTTTTGTGTTTGACAAAGGTCAAGTCGATGTGTGTTGAACCAGAATCTGTTGTGAGTGTGTTTTCAGCGCCTGTGCTACAGAATCACAGGTTTCCTGCTGCATCCTATATAGCAGTAAATGCAACACAATTTTCTCACAGAAGAAGAGGAGATTTGATTTTGTCCTACAGAAGGATGCTGAAAATTTCATGGTTGGGTCACATGAGTAATGAGGAAGTTTTAAACAAATGGTAACAGGAAAGACACATATTTAAAATCAGAATGAGAAAGATGAAATTTTAGGGACTTATAATAAGAAAGTAGGGCTTAGAGAGTTTGACACTTATAAGATATACTGAAAGGAAACGGCTAGCTTGTGCAAATGGATAATGGAGGAAGTATTGTGAAAATTGATGAGGGGGAGATTTATAGTAAAAATAAAGCTAAAGCATTGCTAAAAGCTTCAAAGTTTGGGAAGGCGCGGAGAGCCATGATCCTTTATGTCCTGAAGGGATATAGCACACTATGTTGATGCTTAATTGCAGACTCAGATTTAAAAATAAACTCTAACTCTCAAGAAAACAGTCATTGACAACTCAAAGACCTTACTGCACATGCATGGGATTATTCAATCATAAGTAACGTCTGTTTCAGTGTGTTTGTGCACTAAGTATAAGTGTAAAGTGCAAGTGTGAAATGAAAGTGTAAATGTAAAGTAAGTGTAAGTTTGTTTTTTGTAAATCATTTTGTCCCAAACAAGGCGATAATGCCGCTAGGATGCTGAGCATTACAATGAGTGAAAGAGAAAACTTTAGTGATGAAGATTGAGAAGAGGATTTAGGAAGACAGATGATGATAATGTTGCATTTAAATTTTTGAAGATAGTAAGTGGAACTGAAGCAAGAAATTGGAAGAGAGTTCCACAGGAGAGAAGTGTGAGAAAAGAAACTGTTAGAATAGAAGAGACAGTTGCAGTTGTTATTTCAACAGTAAAACGGTGAGGCCTAGTTACCAACCTATTCATGCGATCAAGCCAAAAAGGAAAAAAAGCTCATCAGTACAGTTGCCAAGAAAATATTTGTAGAAGTGACAGAGAGAAGACTTATCACATTAAAGAGAAAGTGATTGAAGGTGTGATGCCAAATTAAAATCGTTTACATTACTGAAACCATTTCTTTGTATTTTGTCAAGAATCTCAAGATATACAGCAGGATCTTTTTAGCTCATGCAGGTTTCTTTTCTGTCAAGTCTCTCAGCTTCAGTACAGTCCTGATTTGGATGGCTGAAATTCCTGACTTTTCTCAAAGCCAAAATTGCTATTGAACAGAACATGGATGAGATTAAGGAGATTGTAACTAGATCCAAAAAAATGACTGTGCAGCTCTTTAAAAAATTTGTTTTTTCTTTTTTGTGCCAAATCATTTCAGGAAGTAGGTGATTATATTATGGCTCTCCACAACTTCCTATCTTTTGTTTTAAGTAACTTTTGACTCTTGACCATATGCCCCTGTCTTCAGTATAACATCCATTTACACAAACTTAAATAGTATACTT